GATCATCCTGATAATAGAACATCCTAGAAAAGGTTATGGAACAGGTTACAAAATTGTTTGGGGCTGTGAAGTTAGAGAGGTTGTGTTTATACGGGGTTACTCTTGTCTTTTATCTTAGAGTGGTTCTGTCTTTCTCGTCCTAGTTTATACTAATTGTACCTTGAAATTTCCCTGTTTTAGACTAGTGATGAGTTGCAGATGATAAACTGGAAATCTGTTGTCTGTGCTCCAACACAGGCGCTCCTATAATTTGTACCATTTTTTGCAGTCATAGCACCTTTCTATTTGCAATAATTTGAAACTGATTTCTGCTTACCAACCAGGCTGAAATGTAAAGATTATATCTAGTCTATGAGTAGATAGTGTGGGTTGGCTCAAGGCTTGCAAGAGAAGTGCTGAATCAGCTAAAAGTATGAATGAGAAGGATGTTTTAAATGAACAAATACCTCTGACAAACAGGTGATATTTAGATGAACATAGGTGAGCAGAAGCATGAAAAGTGTGGGTGATCACGAACTGATTCTATATGCTGAGGCCTGTCTCATGTTTGTAGGTGTAAAGCTAATAAAAGTAAAGCCTTTAGGAGTTACTTTATCTCTTTAGGATATTACTGGTGCACTGCAACACATTTGCTTTGTTCATCTACAATGCAGTATAAAATATCTACAGTGCAATATAAAATACCTACAAGGCAATATGAAATATCAAGGGGCAATAAGCCACTTGTGTTGCTTGGTTTTCTGATAATTCTGTATTCTTTTAAAGATAGGTAGCTGTTGCACAAGAAGTTATAAGGGGTAAAGGATGCTGAGGATCCCCCAGGACTGTGTTCATCCTCTAGCTCATGTTCTGGTAAAGAGTACTAGTTGGTATGTAGTACATTATGGGCCAGGTACTGAAGGGCATGTTCATGCCTCACTGTTCCAGCTGTGCCCCACAGTTCCTGCAGGTTTTGGGTATCATGGGAGCTGTCATCATGCCATCAAACATGTACCTACATTCTGCCTTAGTCAAGGTGAGTAAGCCCTTATCCAGTGGCCCCTTGGAGAGCTCATGACATCTTTTTTCCCTTAGTTGCCAGGAGCACCAACTTAGTTTACCAATGCTGGAACCCTCAGGGAACAAGATATTCCCAAGTTTGCTTGCTCTATGTTTTTATCACTAAACTGACCAGAAATTACTGACTGGCAGGGAAGATAGGACTAACAATCTTTATAAGGCCCGAAAAAGCACCATGCTTTTGTGTTTAAGCCCTAAAACCTTGCATAGCTTTGTGGAAGTCAGGAGTAAAGGAGCTTAATCAGAAGCCTTGCTTACTTTAAGTCTTACATAGTCATTACTAGGAGATTTCGGAGGCCTTGTAATTGGGGTTATATACTCTAGCAGTAAAATCAGCTTGGTTTGGTAGGTCAGTGGTCCTTCCAGCCACAAAATCTGAGAGTGCTGTGGTCACTGAGTCACTGATCCCTAGGTGGAGAACATGACAGCAGTGCTGTCAGTGAGCATGGCGTTCTTAGTTACTGGGCTAGGATTTAGGTGAGTGTTAGATTGCTTGGGTTTCCTCTAGTCACTTGTTGATCCTCTTAATCTTTCAGCTGACTCCAAATTTCTGAATTGTTACAGGAGAACTTGTTGCAACTGGTCACGAAATGATTGCTGCTGTACTTTTCTCTGGTCTAGACTGATAAAATGTAATGGTAAGCAGGAACTTTGAGAAGCCAATAAATACTTTTTCATTGAATCCTGCACTGTTCTCTTTGTTTCCTTCACAGTTAAAATCTGTGTCACCTCAGTTTTTGCTGAAGCATTTTTTGAGAAAACAGATCAGCAGATGGTAAGCCAGGGTCACAGGTGATAGTAACTGTGAGGGTAAAATGACGGCTGCAGTGGAACAGGAACAATGACTTGGAGCCCGAAGCAGTGGATCTGTCAGCCCAGTGCAGCCACCTCCATGCCTGCGTCCCAGTCAGAGCTGACAGTCTGGGCTCTGACCGAGCTTAGTCTCTGCTGTCTGATCTTTTTTGACTAAGAAGGGGGCCGGCCTCAGATCCAAGATTGCCTCAAGCTGTCATAGAGTAACTGTCATCTGTTTGACTCTTTGTCATCCTCCTCTGTTTCCTGCACGTCAAGTTCCGCCTTCCTGCTTGCCTGTCTTGTCCTCTGAGATAAGGATCAGTTGGGAGAACTTGGCCAATAGAAAACAGAAACTGTGATGGGGACAGATTTCATTTGTCACATCAAATTCTGTGTCCTCCTGATTCCAGTTGCCTCAGTAGCCTTGGTCACCACTTATTTCACAGTGCCAAAGCCTCTGACTCTTGGCTCATCTTTACCTGAGGGCTCCCAATCTGAGTAGCCCCTCATGTTTCAGGTCTTCTTAGGGCTTCACTGCCTGTCATCATAAAAATGCCTCAGTCTTAGGTCATGTACACTCTGAATTGGTAATGAGTTTTGAAGACCTTGGAATACAGAAGATTACGGAGTGTTCCCAGTCTCTGCCACGCCACAGCCTGCACCCAGATTTTCTCTGCCATACCCCTTACAGAGGATTTGTGCTCTGCAGGCAGCTCTTCTTATCTGGTCCTTTCCCCTGAAACAAAAGCTGCTCTGAAATTGCTCTGGGTTCTAGGTGGATGCCTGTAAAAGTAATAGCAGCCTCTATGTCTGCCCCTTTCCTGACGATAACTCAACCCTAGCTGTGGGCATCTGCCAAGGGCAAGCATGGTCAAGCTTGGCATTGTTGCTCCAGAGTCAGTCTTCTTGGCACATTCCCTGGCTTTTTTGTGATTTACATTAGATCTGAGCATATGTACCTTCTTGGAATGTCCCTTGAGGTCCAAATGGCAAACACGCATTGTTTATTACATAGAAGTGATAGAGGATGATTGGAAGACATGATTGTACCTCAGCCATTCCAAAACTCTTGGTGACCCTCTTTGTCCCTGTCTCTGTCTGTCTGTTCTGTCTGTCTGTCTGTCTGTCTGTCTCTCTCTCTCTCTCTCTCTCTCTCTCTCTCTATATATATATATATATATATATATATATATATATTAAGGACTGAACTCAGGGTCTTTGCACCAAGCTGCAGAGCTATAGCCCCTGCCTTTTTAAAATTTTATTTTATTTTTTGTACAGTAGGATCAGGTTTGATGAAAAGTTGTGATACTCTTGCCTCAGCCTTCCAGAGCATGGGGATTATATGGGTGTATGACAGCATCTGTAGTAAAGTGTTCTTTATAAGCATATCTTAGTCCACTTCTCATGGTTTATTTGACTTTCCAAGAGTGCAATAAATATTATACATTTCCCAAATTTATTTGATCTTTCCCTGCACTTCTATTGTTTTCTATATTAATGTGCAAAAGAAAATAAGTTGGAAAATTCACTTTAGACTTCTGCTTCTTTATTATTTCAGGTTGGAACTGAAGGTCTGACTGGTTTGAAGAAGAGAAAGGACTAGGCTGAGGGATGAAGCAACATCCAGCACGGTTGAGACTGACAGCCTCTACACTGAGACTGAGACAGAGCCTAGAGTCTAGATCCAGGACAATACTTGCTGTAGGTGACACTAAGCAAAGGAGAAAGAGAAATGCCTCAGAAAAATTCTATTTTAAGCGTCACCTAAGCCCATCACAAGCCTATCTTTCTTCCTTCCCTTCCAGGGTGTTGTGCTGGGTTGTTACTTTGGGCCTGCCACACTCTACATCTGGGCAGTGGGGATCCTGGCTGCAGGACAGAGCTCCACTATGACAGGAACCTATTCTGGCCAGTTTGTCATGGAGGTAGGTGCACTGTCCAGTAGAGGGAGAGAACATGGCTCTTTGTTGTTTCTCAATCTCGTGCTTCCGAGGTCTCTGCCTGAACCTCTCCAGCCTGTCTTACCTGTTACAGAGATTTGTCCCGATTCTGTTTCCTTCCAGGGATTCCTGAACCTAAGATGGTCCCGATTTGCCCGAGTGATTCTGACTCGCTCTATTGCCATCATTCCCACCCTGCTTGTTGCTATCTTCCAAGATGTAGAGCATCTAACAGGGATGAATGACTTCTTAAATGTTCTCCAGAGCTTGCAGGTGAGTAGGGAGCAAGGGAAAGTCATATGCCACTGAGGCAGGCAGCTTAAGTCCTGCCCTTTGGTACCAAGCCTGGTTGGTGCTGGTGGTAGGGAGAAATTGAGAGGAGGAAAGAGGCACAAGTGGTCTTGGTCTGCAATGAATGTACGTGAAACCCCTGGCACCTGAAAGCCTTTGAGGAATGATAAGTGTGAGCTATACTTGCATACAGAACACAAAATTGCCATTCTTTCCTCCAGCAAGCATTAAAACCACTATTGAATACTGTGCTGGTTCCTGTGGATGTTAAGACAATCAGATCCAATTTGTGCTTCTCTTTTTGTGCTTCTAGGGATTGAGCCCAATTAGTGGAGACCTACAGCCCCTTTTATTTTTAATTTTGAAACAAGGCCTTGTTAGGTTGCCCAGACTGGTGTCAAACTGCAGTCCTTCACCTTAGCCTATTGGGAGGATGACAAGTTCAAACCCATCTGGGCCACTTAACAATAGTCTCTCTCAATACAAAAATAAAAATGGCTGCGGATGTAGTCTATTGCTCAGACTACACTTGCCTAGCACGGATGAGGTGTAGAGTCAGATGATCCCACGGACTCAGTCTTCACTACCACAGAGGGGGCTGGATGGAAGAGAGAGGCAGGTTAGTTTTACAACCTTAGTTGCAAACTAGGAACTGTGCAACAAGCTTTCACGTAATCCTGTCAGGATTATTTTAATTTATTTCCATTTTTAAATTTCTCAGTGGAAGTTAGGGGTGAGGAAGCATAAGGAAAGTAGAAAAATGAATGCACAGACGACAAACTCACCTGTAGGAGGTGGTAACTAATCCCTTTCTGGAGACTCCTCAGAATGAAAGCTTATCAAGGTTTTCTCAGGAGTCCCGAAGTTCATAATCCTCTTGGTAATACCAAGCTTTCCTGGTGGTGTGCACCCTGGGCTTAATCTTCCTCCTCCAACACGGGTAAAATCAAGTTTTTCTGACTTTGCTTCATCCCCAAAGATTACAGCAAGGTCAGGGGCTGTGGCCCTAACCTTTACAAAACCCGGGCCCCCTCGGAAAGCGAGCTAGGCTCCCTCTCCACAGCTCTCCCCTGGGGGCGGGAGGAGCTGGGAGACCAGACGGTGGCGCTCTGGAGTCAGGGGAAGGGCGCCTTCAGCGCCGAGCTGCTGCTCTCCGTCAGCGCGTCAGCCATTGGTACAGGCGGTTCTCCCAGCCCACTCTGCAGCTGCCTGGTGCCCAGAAATTAGCAAATGACCTGAATCACCGCCGTCTTGGGGAGAAGGGTCATGGCAATGACGTTGAAGGACCCCTCGTTTCTCAGGCTTTCCTCCCAGAGCCCTGGTTGATGGATGCGCGGTGTTCATCTGAGGCCCACCGTATTATTCCTGATATCTGACACAGTGTCAAAACCCAGACCGAACTGGTAAGAACAAAGGGAGAGTTCCTCGTAAAGATGCGATAGTAACATTCACCTTTGCCCTGGGTGTGGGCGGGGCGGGTCAGTCATATTTATGGGCTCATATTTAGTAGCTCAGAGGAAAGCCGCTAGTATTCTTTTAAAGGTATCTTTATGGCTTACAGTGACGGAAAGTGTTTTTATCCAGTTAAATGACATTTATGATGCTCCAGTATAATATTTTCAGAGTCAGCAACACTCCCATATCGTTTGATCCTCACAGAGAGAACGTGTACTTCATCTAGTACTCTGGGTGTGATCAGCAGTGTGTACAATTTGAGTCCTCCAGTGCCAGCACATTTCTGTGAAACATCTAGGGATGTACAGTTGTTTGTATATTGTCCTCCTTCCCCTAAATATGACATAAAATAATTGTAGTGCTATAGTATACTGAAAATTAAGGGATGGAAGGAATTCAGTTTGCCTCCTGGGAGGTCCTGCTGGTGGCATCAGGACTTCCAGGAAATATTTAACAGGTAAACTTGATTTGTAATTAAATTTTTCTTTTGTTTTCCAGTATGCTTTTGTTGTTTTGTTTGTTTTTAACCTTGAAAATATTGATAGGGTTTCCACAACTTTGGCACACAAATATTGAAAGGTTAGTCACCATCTGGAATAGCACAATAAGCCCATGCCGTACTTCTCTCCTGAAGGGACAGAGAAATAAATGGATTTAGTCCTCAGAAAAGCTGACTTAGTTGCAGGCAACAAGATACTGATTTAAATTTACCTGCATAGGTAGTTTTGTTATAAGAAAAGACACACTATTTCCATGTTTAAACTTGAGAAAAGAATTCTGCCTTTCTGTACTTTAAATTGAATGTTTGTATCTGTATAATCTTGTTTGATCAGTCAAGTAAGGTTTTGCTTTGTGTTTTTGCTGCCAGCAAAAATTAATGTGTGTTTGAAGAGAGAAACCAAAACTGCCTAGGCTAAAAACAAATGAATGTTCTGGCATCTGATATAAATGGAAATGTTGGCATCCTTTATCAAAAATGAAGGCAGAAACCCAGACCCCTCCTGCAACTCACATAGTCTCTGCAGAGCACCTGGCAGGACCCAGGAACTCCAGCCAGAGGCGCGCATGGGGCGGAGCTAAACCCGGGTCCCTCCTGTGATTCCCACCATCTCCTCAGACCACCTTGTGGGACTCAGGATCTCCAGCCAGAGGTGCACACAGAGCTGGGCCAGAACCTGGCCCCTCCCATGTCCCACAGTCCTGGCTACCCACCTCAGGACGTAGGAATCTGACCCATGACAAATGCCCCACAGTCCCACTGCTGCCATCAGGGATACCCCCACTTCCTGGACCTAGCAATGCTGTTCATCTTCAGCTCCCACAACTCCCACCAGAACCTTGGATTGCAGTGGATTAACCATGCAGTATCGAGGGGAGACTCAGTAAGAAGAACTCAGCAGGCTTCCATCAGTGAGGTGAGTTTGCCCCTAAAATATGAATAGAGTTTGCCACCTTCAGTGAGTAAACAAGAGCAATAGAGAAGCCCCCTCCAGAAGTAGGCCATAGGCGAGCTTGGCAAGTGGATGGGTGAGTCCTTCCTCCACATAGACAATACTAGGTAGGTTGAGGAGGATGCCAACAAAGCCTCCCCCAACCTGGAGAAAATTAAAGATGCCTGTGGGGCACCCAGAGACACAGTAAGGTCCCAGATGAGACAAATACTATAAACAGGGAGATCTGGTGACTCTGAACAACCTGAAGACATAATAACAGCAGGAACTAGGGGTTGATTTTCATCAGTACTCCTAGGATTATAAGCCTAGGAAGAGCATAGGACTCACCCAACAAGTCTTGCAGTGGGAAGTCAGGTGACTGGCCACCTATTCATTGAGGGACCCAGCAATTGGACAAATATCAACCTTACATTAGGACCCCAAGATACACACTACCAACAGTTGACACTAGTGGGACTGAAGGACCAAATATTAACCTGAAAGGGGAAAATGGCAAAACAAAAAAGCAAAATGTAATCTCAAACATCTAGTCTACCAAGTGCAAGAAGAGGAGACATGAAATAGAGGACTTCAAAAGTAACACACAGGAAAGCTCTGAAAAGATAGCAAGTGAAAATAAAGAAAAAAAAAACTTCATGAGGCTATATAGGAAATCAAATTAGAAGTATTCTCCCATGTAAAGATAGAAATAACAACCTTAGTAAAGGAATTGTGAGTGCAGCTAAAGAAAAAATACAGTAAAAAAAAAAAATAGTACAGGAGCATGGGAAACTGATTGAAACCTTGAACAAACAATATAGAAAACAAGCAGAATTCATAAAACAAACTCAAAAAGACATAAAAGAAACAAAAAAATTCTATTGAAAGCTGGAAAAACTGTTTAAATGAAGCTGAGGATAGAATTCTGGACCTTGAGGATAGGATCGTGATTAGCAATCATGAAATGATAGAACTTTTGAAAATAATAAAACAGCATGAAATGACAATCCAGCAGCTTCAAGATAATGCCAACAGAAAAAATATAAGGCATCAGTGAAGATGTGGGAGTCAATGCAAATGACATAACTAAGATATTCACATAGTAATAGCAGGGGGAAAAATCTGATATGCAGATAAGTGAGACATATAGAACACCAAACAATAACAACCAACATAAATCTACAACCACACATATAATAATTAAGAACCCAGACATGCAGCATAAAAACAAAATACTAAAAGCTGTTAAAGAAAAGACACAACTCACCTATCAAAGAAAGCCCGATAGAATCACAGCACACTTTTCAGCACAAGCCCTCAACTCAAGATGAGCTTGAGGTAAGGTATTTCAAGTCCTAAAAGAAAATAACTTTCAACCTAGACTGATGTACCCAGAAAAAGTTTCATTCAGATTTAATGGGGAATCAAAATACTTCCATGACAAAGAACACCTGAAGAAATTTATGTCCATCAAACCACCCCTAGAAAGAGTGTTGAAAGACATACTATATAGAGATAAAAATGACCATAATTCCCAGAACAACAACAGAAAGAAAACACCAGGTAGGACAAGCAATTAAACAAAGGGGAAAAGCAGAAAACAAACAACTGGAACATAACATGGCAAAGTGAAGCCAGTACATATCAGTTATACCATAAATGTAAATGGCCTCAATTCACCTATCAAAAGAAATAGGTTGACAGAATGGATCAAGAAACATAACCCCACAATATTCTGTATACAAGCAACACATCTGACCCAAAAAGAAACTCATAGATTAAAAGTCAAAACATGGAAAACAGTATTCCCTGCAATAGGAACCCAGAGAAAATCAGGGGTAACTATTCTATTTGCAGACAACGTGAACTTCAAACCGAAAATGATTAAAAGAGACAAAGAAGGTCACTACATATTTGTTAGTGGAAAAATTCAAGAGAAAGAACTAACAATTATAAATATGTATGCACCAAATACAGGAGCACCCAACTATGTAAGACAGATACTAATGGACATGAAAAACCAAATACACAAGAACACAATTATAACAGGGGAACTTAATACCCTATTGTCACAAAGAGATACATAACTAGACAAAAAGTCGGCAAAGAAATAATAGAACTGAATCATACTTGTGAGCAAATGGACTTATAGATGTTTACAGAGTATTCCACCCAACCACATCAGAATACACATTCTTCTCGGCTGCACATGGGACATTGTCCAAAACAGACTATATATTATCCCATAAAACATTCTTAAGTAAATGCAAAGGTATTGAAATTATCCCATGTGTAATATCTGACCATAGCACACTGAAATTGAAAATTAATGGCAAAAGAAATTGCAAAACCTGTATAAATACATGGAAATTAAGTGACAACCTTCTGAACAACCAGTAAGCTATAGATGAAATTAAAGAAAAAATAAAACAATAACTACAATTCAATGAAAATGTGGAAACAACATATTGTAATCTGTGAGATGCAATGAAAATGATCTTAAGAGGGAAATATATAGCAATAAATTGTCATATCAAGAAAATAGAATGAGCACAAATAAACAGCCTAATGCTTCAACTCAAGCTTCTAGAAACAGAAAAGCAAGTTAAACCCAAAGCTCATAGAAAAGAGGAAATTGTAAAGATTAGAGCAGAAATCAATGAAATTGAAATTAAAAAAATACAAAGGATTAATGAATCAAAAAGCTGTTTTTTTTTGGGAGAATAAACAAAATTGACAAACCTCTAAGTAACCTTATCAAGGAAAAGGAAAAAAACCCTAATTCATGCAATAAGGACTGAAAAGGGGAACATTACTACAGACCCCATTCAAAAGGTCATGAACACCCACTTTGAAAATCTCTCCTCACATAGAGTGGAAAACCCAGAGGAAATGGACAGATTTCTAGAAATATATGTACTATCAAAGCTCAACCAAGAAGATATAGCAATTTTGAATAACCCAATATCAGCTATTGAAATTGAAAACATAATTAAAAACTTATCGGACTTCCGGGAGCACATGGCGGATAGATAACAGCAGCTACGGAGGCTCTCTGAGATACCCAGCTTAAAATCTAGGAATGGTGCGGTATGAGGAGTCCTAAGCAAAGGGAGATATACCCTGCCGACCCAGGAATGAACTAAGCTGAGAAAAATCAACTGGAAATGCAATCCCGGTGCTATAACTGGAACAGGTAAAATCTCAGTGGAGGCTGAAACCCGCATGGCGATTTGAATTTCCTGCCGCCACTGCTGCGTCTGAAATCAGCACAGCAAGGACAGAGAGGCGAAATCTCTGAGAGTGGGAATCAGCGAAGGGAGTTGAGAGTGGAACTGGCAGGGAGCCCTGCATCGACCTGTGGTGAGTGAGAGGAACGGGGACCCTTCCATAGACTAGGAGGCTGTAACAGAGGACATTCTGGGACGGGGCAGACTAGCCGGAGCAGGACGCTGCAGTGACTTTAGTCACATATTCCCCTCTCAGGTGGGATTGGTAGAGAGCCCTGACCTAGG